TGCCAATGGATGCTGCTTCCTCATAGTAAGTGTAGTAGTAGTCAATAGTAGCATTTTATAGTCTATAGTCTCTCTCTCTCTATATATATATATATATATCTATTATATATATATTATCTATATCTATATATATATATAGATATTTTATATCTATATCTATATATATATATTATAGTCTTTTATAGTTTTTAGTCAAAGGCTAACTGAATTTGCTTTCGTCAGAACTCGGAAATTCTGATGTAATATTCAATAATATTCAAGGCGCTCAGATGATTTCACATGGCCGGATAAGAAGAAATTGATGGATTTCAAGTTTGACGATCTACAGATCAAAAGGAAATATCACCAAGAATATGACATGTTTTTTTTTTATTTTATTTATTTTTATTTTTTTTTTTAGTCCAAAGGGATTTGAATCCCGAAGAAGGACTATTAGTTTCGTTTTGGCATTTTGCGTCGGACTCATAAATGTCGGTTCACTTTTCAAACTGTTGCCACAAAATGTTAGAGTCCTGCCTGCATATATTTGAAGAAATTAAATAATGAAAAAAATCTGCATAAATGTATGTATGTTTCTCACATTGTCATAAAATAACGGTACATAGAGTCATCGAATTTTGAATAACGTAATCCTCCAACGAATATGAGCATGTGGTGGAAGACCAAATTTGAAATTTGAAATTTGTTTTATGATCGATTTCCTATTTTTTAAAACTTTGACGAATTTTGATTAACAAACTCAAGGATTCCAAAGCGAGCAATGGCAAACGTTGTGCAGAAAAAAACATTTTTATCTCCAGCGCGTGAGTCTCTGTATCGGAAATTCTAAAGATATGCTCGTTTTAAAAAAAACTATTTTGCGATATTGCTGTTGCACTGGATCTTATGGTTAAAGTGCGAGGAACATGATATTTAATAAAGAAAGGTAACACACAAAATGTTCAAAAACGCCCCTTTGGACGTAATTTAAAATCTGAAACATTTCAGATTTTTTTTTTTTTTTTTTTTTTTTTTTTTACCTCCATTCGCTAGCCGAAGGTATAACGTAAAGGGACTTTCAAGTCGTCTATGTACCGAACGAAGCGGTGTATTGAAACAATTTCAGAGACAGTAACATTTAATTTCTTCTTCCCACCCGGTCATGTAACGTAACTGTGCTTTTCCTTGGACCTCCTGTATATCTTTCAATTAAATCCTTAACAAATTTGTAACAAATCAAACAGATAATTTCTGTAAACCTTCGCTCCATTATTGAAATGAATTAAAAATTTTTCTGTATAACATTCTATATTATGTATCCTTTTACGAAATAATTATTTCTGCACTGATTAACAACAATTTTTAATTTTTCCGAAAAGTCTTCCTAAATCATTTCTGTAAAACTTTATTTACACTTTCACCTAAAATCTCTTCTTTTTCGCAAAGCTCTGAAGTAGGTTTTCCGATCCGGCCCTCAAGCACGAAGATTTAGTTGCCTCGAGTTGTTAGCAAATATTATATTAATTGTCTGATTTACATTGAAAAATATGAAAATATCATTAAAAAGTTCATTGTTCTGAATGTTGGGAGGATTCATTTATTTATTTTGATGAATAGTTAATTTTTAGTTAAAGCAACTTTCCTTTTCGTTCTCGTTTTCACCCACGTTTTCTTGCTAAATTGCAAATCAGTTAGCGTGCGGTTATTTAAATTAAGGGAGAAAGAAGGTCTATTTAAGCGATGGTTTCGGAAATTGATTTTAGAGCGTGTTATGTCTGCTTGAAGGCCACGTTGTTACATAATAACTTTGATTTGATTCTGTGGCGTTGTTTGCTTCTAGCCATTAGGCTTGTTCCATCGGCTTCTACGAATCAAAACCTTTCTGCGCGTTTAAATTATCCTGTGAACCGTTAGGCTAGTTTAATTGCATTTCACTTTAAGCTCACCATTACTTGTTTAATTTAAGCCAGAAGTGTTGGCTCATATAAGCCAAAGCGGGGCCGTCAGCGCAACTCTTTGCGATTGAATTAAAGGTCGTTTACACCCTTCTTCTGACTTTGTCTGTATTCTGAGACCTGAGGATAATTCCTGTACAGTCTATCTAGAGCTGGTTAGTTTATGTTGCCAAACAATACGAGATTCTATAATCAGTTACGAGTACTATTACAAAAAATATAGATATAAATTATGAAAGGAGTATACTTCTTTTAAGTTGGTCCATTAGTTCAGCAAGGTATAGTTTTAATTTGAAAGCTACGTTAGAAAACTTACACGTTGTTCCACAGCACATTATTGGGAACTGGCTTTTTTTACCATGCAAAAGGTTTGAGATATTAAAATTATGATGATTCTGGCCCCTTGAATAGCAGCATTTACTTTTCTATAAAGCATAAATAATAAATGCCTTCTTAGCGGGATGTAATCTAAGGAACTAACATAAAATAAGAACCGCGAAAAATAGAGAGATGATTCTAGATGTCTCTAAAATAAAAAATAATCCCAATAATTAATAATAAAAAATTAGCTTTATAGTCAGACTCAATCCGAATGGACTGTAACCTCTCGATAACAGAGGTTTTTAAAGTAAACGACTAAAGGTCTTAGAGATAATTCGTTAAAAAAGTAAAGTACCTCTGAAAACATCTATAAGATGGATATTTTCCACATTTATGGTCTTCAGCGTCTCGTCTCGTTGAATTTTGGACGCTTTATTTAGCTAAGCATGTCCTTGAATTCTATTCTTTTATTATGTTTTATAAATTCATTTCATCTATCTCTGACACATAATTTTATCGTATATTTTTAAGCGGTTTTATTTAGCTTGATTTCTCTCTTTGGAACATACCGTGAAATTAATTTCTGACCCTCTCTCAGTCAGCGGATTTTCTTAATAATTTTCAAATATATGTACGGATTTGCAATATCAGGGAATAAAGTGTTCGAATTTTAGTATAATTTTCCTTTAATTTAGCGTTAAGTACCTTCGTTTAACAATCGAACTGATTATCGTAGAATTCGATCTTTGCACCATCGTATAAATCGAAAAAGTAATCTTCCAAAGTAACATTTTTCGAAATCTTTAACATAATTTATCAAAACTTGGCGTGTTTTAAAAAAATTACTACTCATTTCCCTAGTGATTATTGCGGCTGTTAAAATGACGGAATTTATAATCAGTGATTTAACCTGCCATCGTTAACCCCAGGTGCATGATTTTAAAGATTAAGTTATGTTATTTGAACAAAAGTTACACAAACACACAAAAGTTATCTGCCTAAGGCAAATAAAACCTTCGTGGAGGACTTTCCGAGGAAAACTAGCTCGAATTCCTGTTGCACATAAGGAATCTTTTGGAAATTTTAATGCTCATCTGTTCGATGTATTAGAGTGACATCTGAAGTTCTTTAATTCTTTTTAAAATTTTTATATTTTTATTTGATTTAAAAATCCAATTTCATCACTATTTAAAATCGCGCACCCCTCCAGTGACCGAGTGATTTAGACCGTTAAATGTTGGGAATTTGACACGGGTTCAATCCAAGTGAATGAACTGGCTGTATAGTTGTTTTTTCGATATTTTTCCATACAATAATTTGAGGAAAGTCATATAAAATACCTATAATGATTATTTATAACTATATGTTCAAGATCATTATCCTTATAAATCTTAGATGTGTTTAGTATTTCTAAATGTCGCGCAGATTTTTTCAGGTATTCAATCAGAATATTTCGCATGTTTATACTGATGCGTAATATTTCCTTTAAAACTAAATTTCTGATGCAGACATCAAATATTCCCAAATCATTGTGACTCGACTTCCATGATTAAAAGCGAACAACAGGTTTTTTTTTTTTTCAGATTTAGTTTTGTATTGGTCTTTCGTCACACACTAATTCAGTCATCGGATTCAAGTATATTAAACTTTGGATCAACTTTTTTTCCCTCTTCCAAAGGTGGCACAAGTCATCGTAGACGTTGGCCACTACTAAAGTCGAAGCGGTGGTCGTTTTAATATGGAGGTCCCGTTGGTCACCGTTGGTGGACCACCGTTGCCTCCTATGAAGGGACGGACAAATTATATCCATACCTTGCCCAGGTTTCGAGCCCGGGCCTTTCAGTGCGGCAGTCAGATTCACTAAGCACTTCCTTGTTTGGTCGCTGAAGAAATATTGCTGCCGATTATATATATATATATCATTATATGCATAATGATATATATATAATCGTCAGATTATGGGGACGCATCCCAATACACAGTACCTCATGGGTGATGGGGAAATCTGTGTATGACAGATTCAATGACTGGCACTATATTTCCCGAATTTAAAAAATATACATTAATTATTAATTCGAAATTATACATTTCCTCCAGATAAGAAGTCTACATTCAAATAGATACCCAGCGAAGCGGGCGGGTATCAGCTAGTAGATAATAAAAAAAAATTCCAAATTTGGACTTCCAGATGCCCATATTTGGGCAGAAAAGTATGTTATTCAAGATTGGATGGCTCTAGGTATCGTGGTTTTATCACAATGCGAGAAACATACTTACATTTATGCAGATTCTTCGTTATATAATTTCTTTAAATATAATACAGGGCTCTAATATTTGGTAGCAACAATTTGAAAAGTGAATTGGACATTTATAGTAAACCAACGAGAAATGCCAAAAAGTGCCAAAATGCCAAAATGAAATGAAAAATGCCAAAGAATAATAGTCCTTTAGAGCAAATTACTCCTTTGGACTTATAATGCTCAATAAATTTAATTTTCCAGTTTAATACTTACAACCGAATTATGTTCTGATACTCATAACCGAAACTAGTAATATTAATCATTAGTATTTTTTGAAGGTCATGTGTATCGGTAAAAAATCCAGGACAAATTTTCATTGCGGAATGCATTATTTGCGGAAGTTATTTTTATATCGCCAGATCTCGCCAAAGAAGCGATAAAATTAAATCTGGGAAACAGTTTTGTTGCCACTTTCTCACAGGCGATATTATTTACATTACTGAGTTCAAGACCTTAGAAGTTGGCTATTTCCTCGAATCTCTTTGTTTGATTTCCTGCCCTTCAAAATGAGATTGTGTTTATTACTTTCGATTTTAATTATACTTCCTAGTTTTACATTAAGCTATCAAAGTTTCCTCAGACAAGTTTTGGGTAAGAAGTTTGGTTTTGAGTCTGATATTTTTTGCAGAATTTCATTTGAGCAAAAGCCAATTAGATTGCTATAACAATGTTTTGTGTATGAATTAATTCAGGTATATGCACAGTTGTAATGCTGAAAGAACTATGAAATGATGAAATAGATGATTCTAAGTTCTTAAATAAAATATTAAATTCTAATTCATTACTTAAAAATGGGAAATAATGCTAATACTCTCTGTCATACGTGTTCAATATTTAGATTTATGACTTCTTAGTGCAAATAAGAAAGTACAGTTTTTATGTTAGGAACTTGCAATTCTCACATTAGATGATGTTATAAATTATTTAAGTTCCTTAATGTTACAATTGATGTTGCTTCTTCAAACAAAGTCCAATATTAAGAATCCTAGTTAGGTTTCTGTGTGTAAGTACTGAAGGCTGTGTTTTCATTTCAGTATTTTGTAATTGAATATGATGTAATTTTTAATAATTCTTCTGGTAAATTGTAGTATTTTGAATCGATGATAATGAATAAGGCTTCAAATGAAAGATACTTAAGAGCTGAAAATAATGTTCTAAATTATGTATTAAGAATATCGAATTGTATGAGATTAGAATTTTAGCTTGTGACTGTCATGGTCAGCCTTCGAGATGTAAATATTCCGTTTTGTCCAACGACTTTTATTCAGTTTTGTCCAACGACTTTTATTCATATGGAGATATACAAATACAAAGATAATTAATTCTATTATTTTCAGTGACAGTGTATGCGCAATTGAATTTAACCCTTTACACTCGAAGTCTTCTCGCAGATGACCTACCAACAACTCGACAGCAGTTGCTGGAGAAAATGCAGATTACATAGTAAAATTACATAATAAAATTTATTAAAAAACATGAAACTTACTGCAAGTCTCGGTTACCGAGCATATTGGTTCGGCACAAAGTTTTCATTATAAACGTTAAAAGTTGTGTTCATAAATAGAGTGTGCTTACTGCATACTAGCTAGATCCATACGTATAGTTCAAGTAAATATTTTCAGACTCCATAGTATAGTGGTATAATCCTTTTAGTTAGTCTTAGGATGTTATGATGTTATCGTTAGAAAAACTGTCCTTACTCATTTCTTCTAAATGAGACCAGGGAAACCATTGCAATAAAGGCATTTAAGAATAGAGTTCTTCCTCTTTAAATAACTGATGCAAAAATCTCTATTTAATTGAAATTTCACCAAAAGGAAATTGAAATATTTAATTAGTCAAAGTTATTATTAGAATTTTAATCTAACTAAGAATATTGTTAATGTAATTTCCAACGATATTTTTAGACTTCAATTATTTTATTGCTTTCATAAATAAACGAATTCATATTTATTTAATTTTTTTTGGTCGAAACATACCTTTTTATTTTCGACGCCATAACCAGCTCTTTATTACATAGATATGTTTATATTCAGAAATGCTTATATTGAGGTGGCTCCTGAAGGAAGAGCAAGTATTCCAAAGAATTAAGAATAAAAAAAATGACTATATGTAACAATTTTTATCATATTTGAAAGAACATCAGCATCTTAATTTTGGTTATAATGATTTTTGGAATTTGATGATATAATTGCATTGCATGGAAAATAACTCCTTCAGCAAAGTGCTTATATATATGAGAATAAACTAAACAGTTAATGCGATTATTTTAATAATGTTTCATAGTGACAAACATAGGTATCAGTTATTCGAAAAGGTTTTGTAACGAAGAATTGATGTAATTAAATTTTTAGTGTCGAAGAATTAACCTTTTAAGGTCAGCAGTCAAATTATCACAATATTTATTTGATTACATTAGAGTACACGAAGGCCATCTGCCTGAGAGGGAATATCTTTATAAAGGGACTCTAAAGAATAATTAAATATATATGTCAAGTTCTTCAGTAAATATCTTAGAAGCGCTGTATAAATTAACAACTATTCCATTTTCCGTACTTCTAAGGAAAAGTTGTTCGTATTCAAGTTGACGAATATACGAAGACCCCCTTGCCCCCAGCCGCTTGTCGGTATTGGAACCTGGAAGGAAGTATGGATATTGAGATTTATTCGACCACTTGGTTGGCCTAAATCAATGGAAATTCGATCGAATTGTTATAAGAAATTTTACTGGAATACGGTAAAAAGATAGTTTCTTATTTTTAACAATAGAATTTAAGAAAAAATTTATACGAATGCTCTTTCCGCTACATAACATTTACATGTTTAAGTATTGTTTGCACAACTGACTGGAAGAAACGGTTGTTTTTTTATTTTAGAATAAAAAGTTATTGCCACAGTCTTTACGACAATACAAATTAATTATTTAACGTACCATATTCTATCATTACGGAGCCTCACCAGTGCCTGAACGGTAAAGGCCGCTGAATACTAGGAGTTTGATCTAGGTTCGATCTCAAGCGAAAGGACTGGCTGCAGGGTTGGTTTTCGTGGTGTTTTTCATGTGTAATGTGAATACGAACGAGTATCTCTGAAAAAGTAGTCCACCAGCGGCCGAGCGATAAAGTCACTTAAAACTGATATTTCTGGCCGATGTTCGAATCCCGCAAACTGGCTGGCTTCATGGGAGTTTTGTGGTTTTCCTCATATGTAACGTGTATACGAGCCATTTACCCTTAGAAAGTCCTTTACGAAGGCATTCCCTTCCCTTAGGCAGATAGCTCTTGAGTGCTTTGCCGTAATAAAATAAACAAAAAAATTCCTCCATGAAGGCAGCTGCAGTCTAATGCAACTAGCCCTCGTGTGCTTTGCTTTATTCAAATAACCTAAATTTACTCCATTGCGGGAGCTACTCCGATTATTCTAGTTGATGTTGTTTTACTACATCTGCGAATCAGGAAAGAAATTTTTTTTAGCCAGTAAAATATATGTAAAAAAAGTAATTGGGAATTGATCATATTAGCTAACAAAGAATATGCATGAAAGTTTTAGTTGGACATAATGAACAAATGAGGTAACACACAAATCTAATGAAACTTTCATTTTAATATGCCCTTTACACAAAATATACAACGAAAACATAAATCTGCATGTTAAAAAAGTATTGGCAAAGTGGAGATTTTGTTATGTGGAGATCACGTGTGTAGACATAAGAAACCCTGTTAGTAGAAAGTCTGCGGTGCCCTTTTAGAACGTTATTTTGCTAATACTAAGAAAAAATGGCTACGAAGTCGAAGGAGTTGTATGTTAATGTTAAAAACATGATTTTTTCTTTTTTTGGCTCAGAAATGAGAGTTTAACGTATCGTACTATAGGAATACAACTGAACGTAAGTTTATTTACTGTTGTAGAAAGTTCAACCAGACAGGATTGACGGAAAATAAGATTAGAAGTGGACGGCCTTGAATATTTTCTGCAAGCGAAAAACGTGTCATTATCGAAGAGGTTAAGAAAAACTCTATAATAAATGCATACCAGTTAGCCAAAGATGTTACTAATATTTCACATAAAACTTTTAGTATACAGACCATACGGAATGTTTTACATAAAGGAAGTAATTATGGAAGGGCAGTTAGGAAAAAGTTTTCATTTCAGAAATAAACAGGAGAAGGAGATCGGATTTTACAAAATATCATGTTAATTTATCAGATGAGTTTTGGAACACAGTTATTTTCTTCGACGAAACGAAGTTTAACATTTTTAGGAGTGACGGACGACATGTGTGGAGAAAGCCAAGCACCGAACTAGAAAAACGGCATTTAACTCCGACTATGAAACATGGTGAAGGGAGCGTCGTGATTTGGGGCTGTATGGCAGCAAAACGGTGTTGATAACCTGTGCTTCATTGATGGTATTATGACAGCACGTACGTACATTGATATATTGCGCCGTAGCTTAAAATTCAGTGCCCAGAAACTTAGGGAACATCATTCGAGTTTCAACAGGACAATGAACCTAAGCATGTAGCGAACGTCACCCGGGAGTGGTTACTATATAACGTTCTTCGCCAATTAAAGACACCACTTAAATCATCTGGCGTAAATCCAAATGAAACGTTATGGTACAAATTGAACCTGGAAGTCAGAAAACATAAAATTTCATGTAAAGATGAACTTACGCATACACTCCTTCAAAAATGACACAAAATTCCCAATAGCAGAACTAAGACTCTATGACAAACAGATTACAAGCAGTTATAAATGCAAAAGATATGAATACGAAGCATGAAATTTTGTTCCTACATATTGCTGTATGATCTTGCCAATACTTTTTTTGACCCGCAAATTTACGTTTTTGTTGCATATTTTGAATAAAAGGCATATTAAAATGAAAGTTTCATTAGGGTTTGTGTGTTTATTACCGCCTGCATTCGTTATGTTCAGATAAAATTGTCAAACATTTGCTTTGTTAGCTAATATGATAATTATAGGCAGTTGCCGATACCTTTTTTGCCCACTGTAGATTAAGGTTACCACATCGTGTCAGATGAGAAAGTGATGGGAATTTATAGTTACAAATCGTAGTATAAGTAATTTTTCGCCGTTAATTACTTTCTCAATAGGCCAAATTATCTTATACAGTAGGCTTCCGCCTAATTAACGCAAAAAATCTTTTTCTGTATTAAAAAAGTATACAGAAGTAGGTCAAAATGTGAACCGGACCATTAAGGTGGCGCAGGTGATCGGTGGAACGGAAATGATTATATACATTTCTGTCAAAATATGATGCTACATTTGGTGAGTCTACATTTCTGTCAAAATATGATGCTACATTTGGTGAGTCCTATCCATGCTGAAATTTTAGGTTTGCTTAGAAGGCTGTCCGTAAATAAATGAAAACGCCAACTCGTAAGTTCTTTGGTTGTGGTGTTAAACCAGCGACATGACCAGGGAAGACAAATGTATTTAAGAACTTTGGATAAACTATACAAAAAAGTCCATCAATGTAAACAAAAAGACTATAATAGAAACTTAACGAACTTTTTTTTATTGATTTTTTGAAACAGTTTGCTAATGGGCCCCATAGATACAATA